TAAGAGTCAAGGTATGAGGAAGGGAGAGTGTAATACTTCTGAGGAATAGGAGTTGAGGACTATTCAGCATTATAGAAACATCACCCCCTTAGTCCACACAAGCTGCATGTAATGAGGGTTCTACAGAGCACTAGAGGCAGTTTAATGGGCCCATAGAGATATGAACTGTACTACTAATCCTCTAAACAGAATAACAACTAAGAACATGCTGGATCATGGCCCATTTCACAGAGGGCAGTCAGACATTCAGATGGGAAATCCATAGGCACAGTGAAGGCAACAGCTTGCACACCCCATGATTTGCTGCCATCATCCCAATATGCAGAGAGATACTGCTTCTGAACTGCCTGGTTTCATTTAGCAGCCATGGCTAATAGTCATGGATGAGCATGACCTCCTTGAAGTATAAAGGTGAGGAAAAGGGTATCAGTATATTTTCATATACCAATAATATTGAAAAGGTTTCCCTCTTTCCCTAACTCAATAGTTATGCCCCTATTTCTTTATCTCAAAGCTGTAGAATTGCTGAGTACATGCTATGTTGTGTAGATGCCCACTCCACCATCCAGCTTAGGATTTATGAATACTTGTTTCCCTCTCCTTCAGTATGGAGCAATTCCAAATTCCTTGATGATTTACTTGAAATAGGGAGGGCTGGAATCCCACAGATGTCCTCCCTTTCCATGGGTACTGCCAGCTTCTCCTTCATTCCTGCTGTGACTTACTTATAATCTTGATGGATTACCATCAACACACACAGCACTTTACAGCATATCTTAAGCAAAAAGTGCAGTTATAAGGGGCTGGGGTAGGCAACATGGTGACTTCCAGCATTTTGGACTATGCTGCCCATAACCCCTGCCAATTGATCACATTGACTAAAGAGAGTTGTGACCAAAGCAACTTCTACTATAGGAGTTTGCCATCTACAAGAATCTTCTTCAAGCTGTTCAGATCTCTGGCAAGAGTGGCCTGTCCTTTTCATGGTAGTTTGCTGGATAGGAAGGAAAAATCGGGGGGAGTGGTTGGCAGAGAGAGAAAGTAGGTAACTGCACACTCTGGCCCTGCCCATGACTGGTTTTGATGCTGCCCACCCATAATGGCCCCCAACAGAAAAAGCTTCCTGCCCTTGAGCTATGGCACTGATTATATTCAAGGCCTGCCACATATAAAAAACAATGGCCTTACTGCAGAAACATGGTTGAGGAGAAGATGCTAGCAATAGATCTGGCAAATGAGACAAATAAAACACTTCATGAGAATATAGAGGTTCTCTGCTCATGTACTATAACTTGGCAACTACAAGTAAGTTACTGAAGTTCTTGTTGTGAGCACAACCCTCATGGCAAGGTCTATTTCAAATGTTAAGAACCTAAATTGAATAATATTTGAAGGGTACCTATGACTTTTACATTCATGCTTTAATGTTATTTATCAAAATGACTGTTTGCCTGGGAAGTGCAAAGAAATAGAATGACAAAAGAGGAAAAATAAGAGACCTTTTCTAGAAGATCCAAGAGATCAAAGGGAAATTCAAACCTAGATTAGGAATGCTAAAAGACAAACAGGGGGACTCACTATCTGACCAGGAAAAGGTAAGGACAAAGTGGAAAGAACATACAGAAGAACTGTACAGAAGAGATGAAAGGATAACAGGCTCCTTCAAAGAGGAATCCTATGGGGAAGAACCTGCAATGTTAGAAAGTGAAGTGAAAGCTGTACTGAAAGTGCTTAGAAGGAAGAAAGCACTCGGAGTAGATAGGGTTCCAAGAGAACTATTCCAAGCTGCAGAGACTGAATCAGTCTAAATATGCCAACAAACCTGGAAAACAAAGCAAGGGCCCATAGATTCAAAACATACAATATGCATTCTAGTCCCCAAGAAAAGAGACACTAAGGAGTGCAGCAGCTATAGGACCATTGCATTGCAAGCAAAGTGATGCTCAAGACGCTGCAAAAAATAGAGTGCAAAATACCTGGCATTCAAGCTGGATTCTAAAAAGGAAGAGGCAACCAAGATCAGCACAAATATATGCAGACCCCTGGAGCACATGTCAGCATATCAGAAGCTGATCAGTCTGTGCTTTACAGACTACAGCAAACCTTTGACTGTGGATAAGAAGAAGCTATGGATAGATGGTCCTGAAAGAAATCAAGTGCCTCAGCATTTGATTGTCCTGGATTGTGGATAAGAAGCTACTTTTCAGACAGAAAATATAGAAACGGAATGGTTTCCTATAGGAAAAGGTGTCAGATAAGGGTGCATTTTTTTCTTCGTATCTGTTCAGTCTGAGCACAGAACAAATCATGAAGAAAGCTAGATTGAAAAGATCAAAGAAAAAAGGAGTGAAAATTGGCAGATGACACTTCATTAAGTTAAAATGCAGATGATACCATATTTCTGACTGAAAGCAGCAGTGAACTGAAATGACTCCCAGTGAAAGTGAAATAAGAAAGTGCAAAAGCAGAACTACAGCTGAACATTAAGATAACAAAAAAACAAGAGTACAGAAGAACTACATGACTTTAAGGTCAACACTGAAGAAAATGAAATTGTGAACGTTTTTGAATTCCTTGGCTCAATCATCCATTCAATGGAGATCTACAGCAAGAAATTAGAAGGAGACTTGGAAAGAAAGCAGTGAAGGAGCTAGAGAGATCATCAAGTGTTAGGATGTTTCACTGGAGACCAAGGTCAAGATTATCCATACTATTTCAGATCACTATGTATGGGTATGAAAGTTGGGCAATGAAGAATGCTGAGAGTATGCATTTATGCATTTGAAATATGGTGCTGGAGGAGAGCTTTGTGAATACCCTAGAATGACAGAAACCTAAACAAATGGGTCCAATCAAGCCACAGCTTTTCCCCAAGGCCAAAACAACAAAACTGAGGCTGTCGTACTTTGGGCACATTATGAGAAGGCAAGATTCATTGGAGAAGACAATCATGCTATGGAAAGTCAAAGACCAAACATGAGATGGATTGACTCCCTAAAGGAAGCCACAGTTTCTACAAGAGCTGAGCAAGACTCTCAAGGACAGGACATTTTGGAGTTCATTTAATCATAGGGTCACCATAAATGGGAGACAACGGCATGTAGCGACAAAAACTATTCTTCTTCGTCATCAGTTTTGATATCCAGGACAGCTAAAAAGAAGTATGATAGAGCAATGATAGCAAAAGAGAATACCAAATCAATTAAAAATAAAATGGCCCAGCTCCAGTAAGTGAGTCAGCTGAAAGCATTCTGATCATATCCAGATCAAAACATTCCTGAATAGCCTCCCGCAAAGCCAAGTTTGGACAATGGGGCAGAAAGCAAACAGACTGAGCTAGGCAGGCTTCTTTGGGAGATGCGTTCCACAACTGGGGTGCAGCAACTAAGAAAGCCCCCATATTGTGTGCTCCTGCACTACACCTCAGATGATGCAGCAAGGCTGATTTCCACTGACATACATGAGTAGTGTTGCTTGACATAATACATCCCAAAGAGCCAGCATGTGCCCAAGGTCTCTGCTGATAATTCCTGTCATGACTGTGAGATTTCTTTGTTTTGGTTCATGCATCAACCATTATGATTAGACAGCAATTTTACATATGCGGACAGAGGTTGATTGAAGACATAAAATTTTACAGTATAACTTCAGAATGTGGGTCAGGGAGTTGCATTTTTGAATGCTCCTTCAACAGCACAACTCCTGCATATAATAAATTAGCTAGCATGTCAAATAAGGTAGGTATAATGTATTTCTCCAATACCTTTCTTTAGTATACCCAGGGAGATACTATTTGTTTAAATGGGAAACATTCAATAATGCAACCCCCCACCTCCAATCAGAAATGGTACTGTCCTGAACCCTAGTCTACTCCCTTAATCTACTACTTCATTCATTGTGATTGCACAGAATACCTCCTACTGAGTTTACAGAGCAGGCCTGTATTTGCATTAAAAATGCAACATTCAAAGTCTTTGTCTTCATAACTTACTCTTGTCAGCTGGTTTGCACATTTATGTGCACAGTTTCAATATTCTGCACTGGCTAGCCAACATCCAGTTAAAAATGGTTCTCCTTCTGTCCTACCATAACAACATTCAGACATAAATACAAAATTCCATGCTAGTCAACACGTTATCATCTGATGTGACTGTCCTCACCACTCCCTGGGAGGTATACATAAATCTTAAAGATCCTATGGTATAAAGGAGAGAAGGACCTTCTGTCCCCAACTGACTACTGAGCTCAGGCTATAAGTAACATAAAGTGTTACAATAAGAATTTGAGAGAAGGCTAGATTTATACAGACCGGAGCCCTGGATTTAGGGTAGAAAATAACATCTAAACAGAAAGGCAAGTGCTTTTATGTTGACACATACACACTTTCAACTACAGTGGCTTCACATTTTGCTATAAGGAAGACATATCTAGACACTTTCTTGTACTGAAACGAGATTCAAGAGACTGCTCCCACTATCCCCCTACCCTTATCTTGTAATACCAGATGGGCAATGCATTGTAGATCCCTTGATTTTATTTTTATTTTTTTAAGAAATCACGTTAGGCTGATAAACTCTCTTTCAAGGTTGTTTGTTCCCTTCCTTAGCCAGCACTAGGAATAAAGTTGAAGGCGGGGGGGGGGGGGGATGTTGGAATGATTGACAGCTTTGAACTATAGGCTCATCCCTTACCTTAGGCCATGCAATCTGATTGGCCGTCTCTTGACATCCCCAAAGCACAGCACTTTTTAATAGAAGCTGTGGGTAGACTGTCGGGGGTGGGTGGGGGAAAAGGTTCAGTGAGGTGCATTTCTGACAAGACATAAAGTCATTTTCTACTTCAAGAGACTTTCTTGGGCTATTTTGAGTGTGTGCATGCATGAGGGAGTGGGGGTAGAACGGCCCTGAATTTTATTTAATTAAAAACATTTTTTTTACCTTAAATGTTTTTCTGCAAACTTCGTGGAGAGTGGTCTTCTCCTCAACACTGCGCCTGGACTAATGGATTACCACCTGCTTGGATTAATTTTAGCTTTTCTCATCAGTGACGTAAAGGTCTTAGCTGGTTACCCCATTTGGTGGTAAGACTTATTTTCCCCTCATCTCAAACTTTTGACAACTTAATCATTCACGTTATATTCCTCTGTGTTCACATTCTCTCTTAATGCTTTGCTTTAATTCATATGTTTGATCCTCTTTTTTAGAATTGATACAAAGTTTCAAGGTGATGACACTGTATTTTTATTCCAGAAGAGTGATATTTAATACTTTTCTATTTTCTTTCCTTTTTGTTTGTTCTGTTTGCCTATGTTTGCCAGCCTCCCTCATTAGGAGCTATAAACCAATATCTTGGAATGTAATTTTTAATGCAATGGACAATAACATTGTAAAGATAGTTAATGGAAGGATGGAAACTCATAAATTTTGAATGGGAAAAAGTAATTCAGTAATCCGAGTAATTCAGATTCATTGTTTTTAATTCTTTTGCTTCACATCTTAATTGAATATTGGCAATATGTGCTTTTTCACTTTAAATAATTTGTCCATCCTTCAATTATCTTAAGTATTCAACCTGGATGGGATTTTTTATTTATTTTTTTGCTATATGACATTGTTATTTTTAAATATTTAGTTACAAATTCATCAACAGAAAAATCATTAATGAAATAAGCAAGATAAACATTCCAATGTTATGGATTTTTTAAAAATAAGGACAAGAATATGGCATTTTGGACCCTGCATATACTAAAAAAGAGAAAAAATCACTACTAATGCATTCTAGTCCCTAATCTCTAGTCAAACAAACCCAAAACATAAAAGCTAAAGAAAATTTGGTCTAAGATTCATCTCTCAGTGTAAGGTATGTATGTGTGAAGGTTTACAGCAAAGCCAAACAGCAGATTGATTGAAATATGCCAGCGTTTAATAATTTCTGTCCTGATAAGTTATGACTTCTCTTTGAAGGAGGAAATGCTATACCTAATATCGATGCTATATTGATATATATAAATGCTATACCTAGTATCAATATTAAGCCAATTCATGCTACTTCCACTTTCCAGGATTTCTTCCTATGTTATTAATTCCCTTAAACCCTTTCTAAGCTGGCTCAACAAAGAAATGGAACTAAACTAGCCTGTGGAAATAAGCTAAAAGCTCATGTTGTAGTTATTGTAAAACTCTTCATTAGCTCCCTAGTAAATATAACAAAAATGAAGAATGAACATTCAACACATCTAGCACTATTTTGTTGCATGATTGTGTGGAAATAATATATATCTTTGATCATAAGAAAAAAATATTTTTCTTGCCAAATGGATGTAGGTTTAAAGCGCAACCAGGGTATTTCTCCAATTCAAGAATGCTTCCTTTAGATTAATCAGATGTCTCATAGCTCCAGGTCTGATACAACCAACTTCCTGCAAGATTTATTGGAAAAGGTTGCAAATGGGGCATTCCTGATTATCAGGGTTAGAAGCTTTGTTAAAAGTGGAGGAACTGCTAGTGAGAACCAATTCAAAGGGCTGAGTCTGGTTACACACAGCTCTTTTAGACTCTGAACAGGCCTCTGAAACTTGATTAATAAAGCCATTTTGAGGCAAAGTGTCTTCCTATTTTAATAACGAAACCCATCTCATTCTGTTATCTTTCTTGATTAACTGAGAACAGCTTTACTCCCCCATTTCTATTTAGTCAACCCAAAACCGCCCCCTATCCCCCCAAATCCAACCAAAACAATATCCATATTATCTTGAGTGATCTCACAGAAAACAAAAGATTCCTGGATCCATATAATACAATAGTGTTTACACCCAACTAATAGGAAGAGGCAAATAAGGCTTTGGGGAAGATTTTTAAGGGTTTGTGGGGAAAAATTGCACACACATCCCCATCTGAATTGAGCTCTCTGTACAATTATGCTTTCTGATGTAGGGCACAAATGCTATAATATTTACACTGAGTACCAAGATTAATCCCTCTGTTCTAGTTCTACTAGTCATTTAAAGGTAAGTGCCTGTTTGAGTGCATACATGTATTGCTGAACCAAACCACAAATTGTCATGACCTGACGGCTGCTTGTATGTCCAGCTTCAGTTGCTCTCCTTATTCATGCTGGATGTCTGCTACCTCCTAATCATTTGCTTCCTTTCCAGTTCAGTCTATTACTTTCAGTTGCTATTAGCTGTTTGTTCCTTTCCCTTCTATTATTAAGGGGAGCACAGCAAAGAGAATGGATTTCTAGACCAAGCCAGAGCAAATGTTCAGGTCCCTTTGCAGCATAAATCTAATACATGTTGGAAGAGATCAATCACATGAAAGTTAAGTCAGCCTAAAAATAGTGTATCTAAAATGGATTTTAGCCTTAACACACAGCAATTGAATATATTCACTGTTTGCCGGCTTAACAAAGATTGAACAGTGTTATGTGAGTGAATGCAAATGTATGTATTTTAATATGGTGCTTACTTTTTTCACCTTTATTTCGGCATGGAACATGGGGATGTCAAGTGCAGGTCAGGAAATATGTGGCAGCAGAAGTGGGAGAGTCACAATTTACTTCAGGATTTAAACATGTGGGCAGTTATAGCTCAGCACTTTAAAAAAAATAAAACCTTCCCCAGTTCTCCAGTCTAACCATTCTATGCAGGGAATAAAGCTCTGGGTATCAGGCCATATTTGGACTTGTAGTTTCCAATTTATTCCAGCTACAAACTGAAGCCTGAGGACTAAGGATACTGTTCAGAATACACATTGGGGGTATGATGCTAGGATAAAGATTGAAATAGCAGTATGTGGGAAGATGGAAAAGAACAGGAATGTCTGTACATTTTTATTCATTTCTTTATTTTCAACATATTTGCCCTGCAAAAGTCTCCCATAGTAGCTTAACAAACAGTAATATCAAAACAGTCCCTGCCCTCAGGCTTAATATCTAAAAGACACAACAAAAATATTGGGAGGAAGCAGATAAAGAAGTAAAATCCAAGCACTGATTAATATTGTTAATCTTCTTATAGCTGTTCTACCTGGTAGGGAAGAGGAAAAACAAGCTCCCTGCAACTGTTCCCTCTCTGGCAGGTGTTTTGGGCCAAAGTGGTCTTCTCCTTGTCACAATGTTCTCCCTGGAAGGCAGGAGCCCAGTCTCCCACTTGCCTTTGGTTCTCTGGCCACTGGACCAGCCTGCAGTTGGAGAAGTCCAGATCATTTGAGCCCAAAGGTTTTCCTGCTTTTTCCAAGCCAGTGATTGAAAGCTGGCCAAGTCAGGTGTTTTACCCGGCAGATTTACATTTCTTTGGGTTTCACTTTGTACTTTAAAAAACAACAGTGGTTTGTAGATTTTCACAGATGGGGCCATTTGCCCCACTTACATAACTTTATACAATTTGCATAATTTTATACAAATTGTGTTAAGCATGGCATTTTGCATGTTTTGTGCAAATCAGCACCTGAAAAGCATATGGATCTAGCATAATTGGCATAAAAATCAGCTGATTTACTCAAGTCGTGCTAAATACATGTGCTTTTTTGTGCCAGTCTGCACAAAACATGCAAAATCTATGCAATTTGTGCAAACCTGCACAAATTGTGTAGAGTTCTGCAAATGGCATAAGTTAGTGTGTAAAAATGTGCAAATTGCAGATGGCCACAAGCCAACACAAGTCACATCATAGTGAGTTGGTGCCAGCACAACTAGAACTAGAATTCAGGGGCCCAAATCAGATTCCTTGCACTTTCCCAGGTACCAGGATACTCTCAGCTGGAACAAGGTGGCAACAGATGCACAAAAAGAAGTGTTAGACTTGGCAAAAGGAGAGGGACACCAGTGAGTAAGCAAGACAGACTAGATAGCTCTAGCTCTGCTCTCCAGTAGTACCTTCCAGTTTTACATATTCCTAGTGTAAGGAGTCATTTATCTTGCTACCATTGGCTTCCATTAAAACATCTGATGGGTCAGTTGGTGTTCATTTCATCATTCATTTGACATTACTGATATGGTTGGAATTCTCCCACTGACCTAGTTCAGATGACATGGCAACTCACCATGGGTGATCAGTCAAGTTGGGTTGCTGCAGTTTCATCTGCGTGGCTTATTCTCAAACAAGCCAATAACCTATAGCCTGTTTTAGGGTACTTCATATCCATGGTGGCTTATTGTGTTGTCTGAACCTGGCAGGAAGTTTCCATTATGGGTTTCTCAAAAGTGCTACAGAGTTGCTTGGCAAACATGTCCCAAAAATGTGACATTCCTTACAAGTGATTTCATGTTCTGAACTCAGCCTAGCAGCAATCTCTGGTGCTGTGGCCTCCTCCTTCTTCCTCCATTCTCCTCCTTCATTAAGCAAAATTTTGTCACTGCCTTTTTTCTTTCTTGCCCTTGTGAGACAGCTATATTATAATCTGCATGAGGACCTTGAAGGCACATGCAGTTCTGCCAAGTTTAGCTTTGTCTTTGTTGTGCCCTGCGTCCATACACCTGCACCAAGTTTTCTGAAAGGCTCTTGAAAAAGAAGACTTAAATCTTTTCACTGAAGTAGCAAAGGCAGTATTTTGACCTTGCAGGGATTAGGCCCATGCTTCCTATAAAACAGCCTTCAGGTTATGTAGGAAGATTCTGAGTCAGTCTAAGAGGAAGGATGAGAATCCCTAGCTGCAATTGCAAGGCCAGTGGACCCAGAGATTAGTTAGGTAGTTACTGGACATTGGTCAGTTTCAAATACTGTGAGAAAGCTTAGCGGACATGCTAATGAAGAGAAGAGCTGACCAAGCATCATTAATCCCAAGGCGCGGCATCAGGTAAAGCTGAAAGCATCTGTCCAAATGAAGTACCTGCAGTGAGATGCGGCAGCAGAGATCACAGCTGCATTCTGTTCAAGGCGTAGCATGTACTTGAGCCTCCAAGCTCAGAGGTGCATCAAGGGCATGGGGCACCTGTAGCACCTGTAGTATTGCACCTTTGGTATGTAAACTTTCAATTGTGCAGCAAATCTAGACCAAGATTAACACTTTTCTCTTTTGTGAATTCTTCCCACTGTTGCTCACTGTTTCCACTGTTGTTATTCCTCAAAAAGCCCAACTTTAT